TAAACACATTCTTTTAGGCCGACCTCAATTACAATTCAATTTATGATTATCTGTTATTACAATTGTGGGACAATATTAAAATTAAGTTAAGTATTCATAACAAAATAAATCAAATTAAACCATTTTATATTACTTTCTTTACCATTAATTATAGCTCAGCATCATATTTTGCTCGAGTCCTTTTGTTAGTTAATAAAGATTTAAACTTTGTTGATTTTTTATCTATGTCTCGTGATGCCTTCAAGTCGTATATTTATAATGCATTATCTAATTGTGTATTGTAATTTGTTTATTTCCAATTGTTTATTTTAAATCTGAGCAGTATTTAGTTAAAATTGTATTTTTTCATTTAATTTATATCAACTAAGAAATTGTTGTATTTATTCTATCGCATTATCTTAAAGGATTTTTTTTACCCGTTTATAATTTAAAATAAATAAAATATAACTTACAGGAGTGGTAGCAATAGCTCACAGATTAATTATTTTATGTGGAAGAGAGAGCATAAAGCGAGTAAACTATTGTAAAGTTATACCAGGTGAGAGTGTAACTGCACAACACAGACTGGTGGTTATGGAGTTGTGGGGTACCGGAAAGAGAATATACAAAAATAAAAGGAACACGTAGGAAAAATCGAAGATCCAGTGGTGGAAATTGAAAAAGAGTTTGTTAAGACGATAAAAGAGAAGACGTTGTGGAATGTTGAGGAAGACATAAATGATATGTAGAATAGATTTGCTAGTTGCATAAAAAATACAACAAAGGAGATTGTTGGTGAGAGTAGGAATAGAATGTCAGATAACAAAGAAACCTGGTGGTGGGATGAGGATGTTCAAAAAATCATATATAGTAAGAAAAAAATGAGAAAGAAGTATGGTAGGCTGTGGCCTCGATGGAAAAGAATAAAGCAGTAGGATCAGATGAAGTATGGAAAATATTAGGCGGTGTTGGCATAAGGTGGTTGAAGGAGTTTTTAAATAAAATCCTATTAGAAGGGAAAATTCTAAATAAATGGAGGAATAGTATTGCGGTGCCGATATTTAAAGGTAAAGGTGACATACAGGAGTGTGGAAATTATAGAGGCAAAAAGTTTATATGTCATAGTATGAACATTTAGGATAAGGTAATAGATAAGAGTATAAGAAATGAGACATCGGTATCTAAAAGTAATTCGGATTTATGCCTGGTAAGTTAACGATGGAGCTAGTATTCTGTGTGAAGTAACTAATAGAAAAGTTTCGGGAAAAGATGAAAAAGCTGTGTATGTGTTCGCGCATTAAAGAGAAACGTTGGCTATAGTGTAAGTGTTATCATCGCATATATGCTGATAGGATGTTACAAAAAGTTTTGAAAGTGTGTGCGGTCAATCTAGTGAGAGATGTACCTGGTTTTTTATTTTGAAAACAAGTGAATTAGAAAGGATTGTCTTTTCCTTTACGTGGTACATATAAGATCTCCACGTAATCTTGAATGACAAGGTGGTCATACTGTCGGAATAAGAATATATGTAAATTCTCCAGTTGGACTGGATGCGAGAAGATTGAAGGAGTCA